CCCGGAAATACGTCTTTTCAGGCGTTAAATTCGGTGAATATGTTGTTGTTCACTCAGAAAATGCCAATGAACAAAAGGAAAACAAGCTGTTTGCCGTGCGTTAACCGAGCGGTTAATGCCGGAAAATGAATTGTTTATCAGCATTTACCGTGCGTTAACCGAGCGGCTAAAGCCGGAAAATAAGTGGTTTACCAGTATTTACCGCGAAGGAAAACTACCGAATAATTAAAACGAATAGTGGGATTCACCGGTGCGAAAACGTCGATTTTGCGCATGGAAAACACGGGTAAACTTTCATAAAATGCCGCGTTTTCCGTGAATTCAATCTTCGTTTATCGTGAGGTGAACGCCAGTTTTTTTGCTGTGTGAGTTTCTGCAGGGCATTGATTGCAGACAAAAACTCCGTATGCATTATTTTGCTTGCTATGAATAACAAAGCCTATTTTAGTACCTACAAGAAAAATTTCCCCTGGATTTACGGACTCTTCGAAGTTGATATTTCACTTTCAGAGTCACTTTGTGGTTAACATAGCGTGTGCCGAAGCTGAACATCGAACAGAAACCCAATGGTGTTTATAAGGTGGCAATTTTTTAGCGACATAATCATTCCGAAAACTACATTGACTCTTGCCATACGTTTATATTCAATCTTGCCTATCGTAACGGTTTTTACCAGTCTTGCTAATGTGTGATACCATAAAAAGATGTTGTGAATAAATTTTCCGTAGGGTAGCTTTTTACTCGGCTTACAGGTTGATTTCATAATTAAAGCTTTGTAGCGTCGTCAATGTTGTGTGTCAAAAAGATACTGAAGGGCTGTGACGGGTCATAAAGGGGTAAAGGGGAAAGCAGGTGTCTGGGTTTAGTCTGTGTACTGGGAAAGGGGAATCCCAGCGGTTAGCACTAGATCAAACACTCTTGCTAGAAAAGGGCTAAAGAACTTGAGCTGAGACTATTGGAACTGTACTCCATTTGGAAAGGAATTATGTTTTTACTTCCGTTCGTTGTCAAAATGTGAGATATTTACAAAAAACTCTGGCCTGTGCACTTTGTTGATTATTTATCATCTCACATTCAACTTGCGCTCGTAAAATAATTGTGAACTAGCACTTGCATAATTTTGGTGCTGTTAATGTACACTCCAAAAGGTACCCCCATGATCTGTGTAAAAAGTCCACTAACGAATATATAGGCTAAAGTCCAAACTCCGCTGAAATATGTATCTAACACACGTGTTACGTAAAGGTCAGTCAAATTGCAGTTGTTAGTTAAGACTCCAGGTGGTAGCTCCTTGATTTGGTTTTCACCCAGGTACCTAAGAAAATGACATTACCGAATATAAGATCTCTCCTAAATAGGTAATTCTAAATCCGAGAGTGTCTCTAAGTTATTGTGTCCTTTTGACCATTTCTTTTGAATTGTTTTAGAGTAATAAAAAAAGATAACATTTTAAAAGTGTTATCAAGTCCCTTAATAAACACAAATATTGCAAGAGCAAATCAGTAAATTCAAAACATTTTGAACACCCTGAAATGTTAAAAAAAGAAAAGTTTCGTTCGAAATAGAAAGTAACCCCAAACTTGTTTTCAGATTTCTCAACACATGAGACGTTGGGAGCGAGGCAAACTTTAGAGGGTCGAAGTATGAATTTTCTCTTTCCAGGCTTATTTTCGGCAACTGCCAAAGTTTTACCTCACCTGCTAGAAATAAACCTTTATTTGATTGTCAATGTCGCCGATCAAATGAAATTTACCTAATATTAATTACAAATTATACGAGTCCCCTCCACTAGAAAGAAGAACCCTCTCAACTGTACCTCGCTTTCAATGTGTGACTCTGTAGTTCACTTTGTAGTAGCGCTGAATTAGTATGTGGGAGGCACTGGTTCGAAGGCCGTTCAAGCCTAGAGTATCTCCAGGCTTCAGATAATGGAAAAATGTCAGAGCATTTCTTTCAAGCCGAATAAAAGCTATTCTTTTTGTAACAATGATAAGTGACTAATATTTGTTGTGATAGCCCTTCTATCAGGTTCCTAAAGTCTGTTGATGGAGGACATATCCTGGATATAGGTTAAACAATTTGTCCATTGTATATTTTTGTTGTGTCATGTTCTTCTGGCAAAGGTCAATTTAAATTTTGCAACAATTTTTCGTAAAATGTTTTGGACACCTGACATATTTCGTGAGCCAGTCAATGTTTTTGGGTGGTTTGTAAGGCACTCCAAAGGCTAACGTTACTCTCGGTTATCAGAATAAACTTGTGTATGTTGAAAGTACTGAGAAGGTGCTCTCGGTTAGTCATGAAATAGAGACTCAAGCAATAGTATTTTCTATACAAGGACAATAAATACTAACGTGATCGTTCACATCAACATATCTCTTGTGATCCTTTTGAATAAAGTAAGACGATTGAACATGTGATATTGTAAACCAGTTATGTATAAAGCTTGATCATTGTATTAGCTGGAATGGTTAAGTTATGAAATTTTGTTGCGTCGTCATCGGTTTTTATGCCAAGTAAATATTAAAGGACTACAGAGTGTCCTATAAGAGTAAATAGGCATTGGGGCAGGAGGGTTTAGGTTTATTTACTTTTTTGTGGGAAACGTGTGAAACCAGGAACTAGGGGAAAAGAGTTATCTCTTGGTGCAGGACGGACAAAAGAGTAGTGTAGTAAGTCTAGACATCATTAGAATTTTCTTTTAATTCCTTTAAAGCAGCTGAAGTCTAGGTGGAGCTGGAGTTCGGAGAACTATTATTCTGACGCCACCTTTTCGATTGGCTGAGTTTCTGAATGTAAGATGCCCAGTTCGATTTTTTCTATATTGCTTGCGTTTGGAGAAAAAGCCCCATAAAATGTGTTACCCTGACCTGTTCTAAAACTTACTGGGATTAATAATGACCGCAATCAGATTCTGATCAAAAAAGAACCGTAATTTAAAGAGAAAGTTAAATACGTCCTTCTGATTGAGTGCATAAACAGTTTATCAGTAATAATCTCATGGATTGATACTATTACCTTGAACTGAGTAAGAATAAGAACTAAAAGAACTGGGATTGATAGTTATGAGAATGGGATTTGCATTGAAATTTGGAACCAGGCTTTGGCAAACGTGCATTACATGTGTTTCTACAGGCCAGTCAAATTGGAGCTGTTAGTGAAGACTCAGTCAATGTTTAGGAATTTATGTGATCGCTTACAGCACCATGAGTATTTTGAATTTTGCCTCTGGCTGTGATCAGTTGTACTAGCGCTACTAGTTCCAACCCGTCTTCATAAGTAAGACACTGGCTATATGGTATTGTATAACAGTTTTGTCCGCGGATAGGTTTGCACTCGCCCTACAGGTTTAACATTTGTTGAAGTCCTAAATGTAGGAACTTTCCTAAATGTAATAAAGTCCTAAATGTAATGACACTTGGGACTAAATGTAATTAAGTCCTAAATGTAATGACTGATTTGGTCCTAAATGTAACAAGCCTCCAATGCAAAGTTGACTGCGCTAGTGCATTGCTGTTATAGCGGACATCCACATTGAGGTGTTAAAGTGATAGCTGTTGCTCCAGAAAATCCTCTGGGGCCTTAAGTCGCCGTAACTTTGGGCGACTTTAGGCAATTTAAGGCGACTTAAGGCGACTTAAGCAAAATTGGCAAAAAAAACATTGCAACTTTAGGCGATTTAAGTCGACTTAAAGTGACTTAAGGTAATTCCCTTGAAATTGTACTACTTTCAAACTTTTTTTGAAACTTGGTTTAATGAACATTCATGATATAAACATTAAAACAATTCTATAAAAAAAAATGGGGTCACCGTGCTTGTTTACGTGTCAGCAGGCTTTTAAAAGGGGGTATTTTTACTGGTTGTGCATTAAAAATTCGAATCACCTTCATACAGAGTTTAGCCTTGGTAACTTGGAAGCCTTGGAAAGACACAAAATTTTATTTTGAAATTAAACCTTCTTTTGTCAAAATAAGTAGCATTGCTTCTTTTTAGCTATTTTTGATTGCCTGGTTGTGGGGATTTTGCACTTTTTCGGACAGTTTCTTAGTGACCTTCAAGTCTCTGCCTCGGCCAAAATACACCAAGTACAGAACTATTTTCCAAAAAAATCAAGTTCCACTATCAAACTTTTTTCTTCTTCAAACATTTTCTTTATTAGACTCTTCATAGCAAATACCTGAAAAAAAAAAAAATCAGGTGTCACAGTGCGTGTCTCCTCACAAACTGCCGTGACACGTGGACGTGGTTTTGAGATCGCAGTCAGGATAAATCAGGATGGAGGGTTTGCACGGTGGGGACTGGGACGAGACACAAATGGTGCCTATTATGTTCGAAGTATGCACCCGATACTAAGCTTGTTTTCGATTGTTTTTATGTGTTTGATATCGCCAACACAGAAATTCATACTTGGAAAGCGTGAAAAAGTGACAAAGATTAGGTAAGTCAAGATTTGATGAGATTCTTAAGCTATAAACCTTTAGTTGAAACTGTTTTGTAGCGCTGGCGTTTTAATTCCAGTGAGCTAGGGTTATCGATTTTTTTTGCTTTGGGGCAATAAAGACTTGACAAAGAAACTTGAAGAAAAGACTGTTTATTCCTCTTCTCTGTATGTTTTCTTGTTTGGTTTCTATACACAGCAAAATGGGAGTTCTTCACCCATCACTCTAACGGGAGTTTTAAATTAAAAAAAATATTTAAAGAGGGATGGAATCCAGCTCAGCATAGCGGTTTTCAGTGACGGCCCTCAAAATTAACAATGTATAAAAGAAGTAATCACGTAATTAATAAGTCAAAACTCACGGTCGAAATATGAAATATGAAGTATCTAAAAGTGATATATACAGTACAATGTAGTATACTCTGAAAAATACAAACTGAAATTTAAAATGTGTTTTTCATACTTCAAAACCTCACTTCAATGTCTCACTGGTCCACATTCTGAATACCACATTTTCCATGGAAAAATTATTTCAAAACATGAACTACACAAATCACAATCTTAATTTGCATTATCGATAGAGTACTGACATATTTGTGCCAGCACCCGCTTGTTTGAGGAGACTCTGGGTTTGTTGTCAAACCTCTCCATGAGAACTTGCTTCACCCCTTCTTCCTTGCCTCTTTGGCATACCACTTGTAGGTGAGGGAGACCCAAACCTGAGCTTGTACACTTAATGGCCATTGAGGCTGAAATGTACTTCTCTCTAACTAATGGCTGCAGGGTATTAACCAGAAGTTTCTTTTCTTTTAGGAGCTTCTGATAGGATGCCACCCATGAAACTTTGAAGCTGTGCTTTTGTAGCAGTTTGACATTTAGAAACTTGTTCACCAGCTGGTAAAGTGTTTGCACATCTGCAAGAGCATTGTGAGCTTCATAGGATTTACCCAGAAGACCTTGTACCAGGTTTTCTTGGCTTTGGGATTTCCTTTCAGGAAGCAATTCCCTGAATGCTGAAAGAGGGTCTGTAAAGCCAGAAACTGTTTTAACTAAGTCATCCATGACTCCATTTTTCTCTGCTGCTTGCACCAAGAACCTGGCATCAAAGGATTTGCAATTGTGTGCTACTAAAATGCAAGGCATTCTTGATTTGAGCCACTCAATGAAGGTCTTCAGTGCCACATCAATTGCAACAGCATCAGTTATTGGCTTCCCATCATAAAACAGTATTGCTCTTTGGAAGGTGAGTTTGTTCACAGCAGATGCTTCTGGTGATAGTACATTACGAGGCTTGATATAAATAGAGAACTCATCATTACCATCTGTTGCTGCAATTTGTAGGATTTCAGCATCATTACCTGTTTTAAGATATTGTAATCCAATTAATACTTTACAAAGATATTACAAAGGAAAATGTAATAAAAAGGCTTAGTGCATCTATGCAGGGTATATCTAAAATAAAAATAG